CTAACTTAAGTCCAAAGCTTTTCAAGGACTATTTTCATGATTCATGGGAACTAAAAATCCATTTACACATTTCAAAGCCAAAACAAGCATCAACACGAGCAACAGTGATTATGTATAAAAAAACAAAATTGATGTGGATTTAAGATCAAATGACGATTAGTTCCAAAAAAGTTTCTCTTTCCGTGAGCCACGGGGAACCTGGTAAACTGCTTTGGATAGAGGATCGTGAAGGCTACTGTTACATGCTGACAGCAAATGTGTTGAAATAGTCAACACATTCGTCTTAAAATGACTCAGCATCACCATGTTAACATCAGTATTGCCATTATCAAAAACTAAGGCAAAAAGCAGAGAAATTATGAAAAAGTCCCCCCATGATTCGGCATCTTTCAGCTTTCCCAGTGTTCTCCCTCCACTGGAGTCTGAGGGCATCTGTTTACTCATTCCTGTGTTTGGAGGCTCCGGCCTGCTGCAGGACATTATGCACATTGCATTGCATATGTCAGCTTTATAGGTCAGATACCTGGCTTCAACTCTGCAAGGAGCCGGGGTTTAGTGGCTCCAGAAAAAGTAACTGCTTTATATTCTGCCAGGTTCATCTTTGCTCTCCGTAAACAAGAAGAGAATAAGATACCCAACATGTGCTACAGGTATAATGGTGCCCCCTAGTTGACTGGCAAGCAATATAAACAGAAAACAAAGGTCTAGATAATCTCCATCTCTTTTTAAAAGAAGATTTTTAATTATTGCTTCATAAAACTGATGAAAAAAGACAGCCATTAAGCATTAGAATAGTCTCAGTGGGATTGGAGTATGAAACAACTTGTGAATACATTTATTGAATAGTCAAACTTCATAAAGAGTGTCAAGTAGCAAGGTTGTGGGTGCTCCCTTCTTTATGAAACAGTCTGTGAGTTGGTCAGTTTGTTGGAGACACAACAAAAGTCGCTTCTCGACGCTCACATTTCCAAATAAATGTGACTCATATTTGATATCCAGTGTGACCTGCCCATTATTTTTTCTTTACCATTGCAGCCAGGAACAGTTACGCCCATACTCATCCATTTCTTGGGAAATGCTTAAAAAAAATAAAAAAAATCACCTGTCTATGATACGAACCCTCAAATTTGACCAGGATAGAGCCACAAATCCCCGGGCAACAAGCCTGGCTTTTGCTACTAATCCATTTCCAGTCTCTTTCAGAGTGCACTCCAAATGCCTAGAACTCACTTCTGTCCTTTATGCTCATCTTATCAAACATTTGGTTCTGTCTCCAACCACTCTTTAGAAAACGGACAACTTTAATGGTTTGAAGTTGTGAATAATCTCGCTCACTGTAGACTGATGGATGTAAATGAAAACACTTCACAGAGCGATGGGCAGCAACAGCTGTCTTTCTAAGATTGTTAATGTCTTTTCTCATTGGCTTTGAGTTAGGTCTGAATTTGATTGTTCCAGGTATCCAAAATGGCCAAACTTCTGTTTTGATGAAGGAGGTCCCACTTGCTGAAGATCAGTTTAACCAGATCCATCTGATTAGCATCACCTTCCCTTCAGGGTTGAAGCAGTGGAGGTTTCAGTGTTCTGTCTGTGTGTTTACTACCTAATGACTGCAGGTTACATGCCAGGTGTCGTTCATATGAGGTTGAACGTACCCAGTTTAAGGTCTGGTAAGGTGGAGGTGATATTTCAGTCTCTCCTACTACATCAAACCCTACCATTTAAAGGAGGTTATACTTTCGTTTTCTCCAAAGTCTGAGTCTGACACAATAGCCTGAGTCTCAGTAATCAAACTTTGTTCAGCTCAGTTAATCATTGGCTCCCGTGCAGAACAGGCTCTGTCGCACACACATGTTCTGCAAACCGACGCTCTGTTCAGATGCCCTTTGCTACTGTTGCCCTACCCAAGACGAGCGGGTCACCTTGCTCTCGCATCTACATCCCAGTTGATCCGCTCCTATTGAGAGTAAATCACAGAGCGTGTTCAGTCCTGCCTCTGTGGTGCAGGATCAGAGCACTGTCATTAGTTATCCACAGCTGGAAAAAAACTAAAACTGCTTCGGCTATGATGAGAAAAAAACTTTTTTTTCTCCCACCCATCACAAGCTAGTTATCTCAGCTAGAGGTGAAGGTAAAGAACAGAATATACAAAGAAAAACATAGAGCATTCTAGTCCTTGAATATTTAAAGTCCTTCCTGCTGCTCTACAGTTTTACCCAAAGATCTTAATCTGTAAACTAGACTGATGGAACAGTTTTCTGTGGCTCACAGCAGCTGCTGCTGGCTTTGCTGCTGTTATTCACCACTTTCTCAGCAGCACAGCAGGCTTCAAAAAGGTCAGCTTCTCTTTTCTGGAGAAAAAAACAGAAATCTTCCAATTTAAAGTAATATTAAAGTAACATTTTGTCTTGAAAATCTCCTAGTTTGCAACCAAACCTTAGACGGTTCTCAGGGCATAGGCCGACACGGGATGTGAGGATTAAATGTAAAGAAGGTTTTTGCCTTTGACCTGTAGATAAACTATGAGTGTTACTGCTGCTTTTAAATTGGGAAAACAAACCAATTCAGCTATTTTCGGCTTTGAACTTCATTCTGAGAATAATTCCGCTCCAAATGTCTACTTGTAGATCAGCTTAGGACAAAAAGTCATTGCATTGCACTTTAGCAAGAGCTAACAGTTCTCCAACCAACCAAAGTGTTGCTGAGTCAGTACAACTGTGGCAGCAAACTCCTGAACATTTACCGATTTGGGGAAATTAAAGTCCTTGCTGATGTAGTGAACTGTGGTCCCTCTCTTTTCTCAGAACTGTGTGGATGAATTGGCTGCACCACACTTGCTCAAACCCTCTTTCCAAACTGACTAAAGTATGGTCTCAGGTCACAAGGCCACAGGAAGATCTATTGGTTTCCCATTTCTGTTTGAAGACATTCATTGAGCCCGGTGGTCACATGTCTGCCCGGGAGTCCAAAGTACTTTGACTATTCATACAGATTTGACTAAACCGACACTCGGGCGGTGAGCAGCTATCTTGGCAGCGTTGCTGACCCACACTTAGCCGGAGGTGAAACTCAAACAGTGAAGCTCCACGCTTTAAAAAAGGCTACAGGTAGTAGCATAACATCAATTATAGATGTCCATACTATTGGGGCAAACTGACAGGGTACTGAATTAAAAACAACACATGCCTATAAAATTGATATAACTCAAAACTTTCTTTTTTTTTCAGTATAGTCTGAATGGACTATTCAGGATTTATTCATCAAGTCCAATTCTCACGACTAGCTGCAGGAGTCTGAGTTTTCTGAGTTTGAATGGGAGCTAATACAGCAGCAAGAGGGTATAAACCAAGCTCAAGCCCAGTGAAGATTGCATTTTTGAAAATCGTGTAAAGCTGGATGAAAATGTGCAAATGGGCCCATGACTGCTGGCTTCTGCAAGACCCATCAAACGACAGCAGATGTTACAAAATCATCAGTTACGAAGGAGAAGTCCAATAAATACGCTGAAGCTTTCCAGTTCTGTCCCAGTTTGAATCGTGTCCTGTTAAACTCTTTCTGCTACAATTCCTATTACTGGGGTCACCTTTTCAGGAAATAAACATATGGTAAAATATGTTATCTGTAGTAAAACCAGCAGGCTATGAACTTTTTTACTGGTGTAATAACGCCACAATTTGCTGACACAATGGCTGATGCCAAGAAAATAATCAGCTCATACCTCAATCTCACTCTTCTAAAACAAAACCTGCTGGTTTTAAGGGTTCTTAGAACAAAAGAAAACTAGCTGCTGATGCTATTAGGAGGTTATCAGCGTCCCATATTTATGACAGCATATGCAAAGCTGCAATGTGATTTTCCCACACTGAATAAATCGCTCTCCACCTAAATCAATTCATTCATAAACAAGCACAATCCAAATCTGAAAGGAAATCTACTAAATCCATCATGACCTCATAGGGTTTCAATTTCAGTTCTGGCTCTTTTAGCTTTTAACTGAGTTTCCGCTGCTTTGAAACAACATCCAGTGGATTCCAGAGTTTCTGTACTGGGACTGGAGAGCTGCTCAGATGTGAGCTAGCTCCATATCTATATGATCCATTTTAATATAAAAGAATGAACTGATGCTAAATAAATTGCATCAACAAAAGAAATGGCAACGCTTTATCACCAATGCACCAAAACATTGGTTGAAACCAAATAATGTGTTGTTGTTTTTTGTTGTTTTTTTCAATCAACAGTCCCAGGGTGATGCTGCTGGAGGAGATCCTGACAACAGCAGCTGATTGTTGTCTTGTTTTCAGGTCACACTCTGAATGAGTAGAGGGTCTTGATCAGACCTCCATCATTTACCTGCAAACCATCAGCTGAACAGAGAAATATCTGCAGTGATGATGGAGCCAGCTTCTGGCTCCGAGTCCCCCCTCTTTGTGCCCGTGGCCGGTTTGCTGTGTGGTGCCAGCCGGGCAGCTGTTTACAGCTCGTTGGGGGGGGGGGGGGGGGGGGGGGGGGGGGGCGCCCCGCGGGGGGGGGGGGGGGGGTGGGCGGCGGCGCCCCCGGGGCAGGGGGGGGGCGGCGGCGGGGCACCTGGCCGCGGCTCGGGCCGCTGCCCGGGCTTCGGGGTTCCTGTGTACGGAAACGGGCCGCTGGCCCTTTAAAGGCTAAGATGGTGTCCTACAAGCTGCAGTCGCTGCCTTCCGTTTCCTCCCTGCCTCCCCAAGATCACAGAGCACTTCAAATTGAACCTGAACCACAATGCCACACGCAGACAGCCAGCTCCGGAGGAGAGCCGGGCTTCCGCGTTCAGCGGGGAACAGCGGCACTTTTCCCCCCGAAGCGACGAGGTCAACGCCGCGGAATCATGTGCTAATGAGACCCCCTTTGCTCCGGTCCCTGCTCGGCTCCACCGGTCACATGTCCGCCTGACAATGTCAGAGCCCCCCACACAGGTGGATGTGGCGTGCTCTCCAGCCAGCGGGGCAAAGCCAATGACGTGCACTTACTTTCTTGTTACGGGTCTCCGTGTGCATCTCGGTTGCCGGAGCGGTGCAGCGGCGGAGGGGTGGAGCAGCAGGAGGGGGTCGGCGGGGCTTTGGGTGTAGCACTATCTTAATCAGAACTGTCAGGGAGAGAAGAGGGCTGTGAGGGGCTAGATTTCCACCTTTACAGTCAATTTTTCAGGATATGGAAACACGACTCCTGCCTCTTCCAGCTTATCTTTTCAGTTCATGTCCGCGGCGTCGACGGATCCCTGTGCTCCCCCCAAAAAAATCGCCAAGTCTCTCTTTCTCTCCCTCTCCGCGTCGGCTTGTTGTTGCCGTGTATTCAAGGGCTGGGCTCTCTCTCTCTGCCTTTTCCTCCTCCGCCTCTCCCTGCTTGTGACCCCACCCTGCGTCCCCACCCCTCATCTCTGTCAGCCGAGCTGCGCGGAGCTGCGCAGCCCTGCGGAGCGGAGCGGCGGCGGCTGGCCATTGGACGCCGGGGCCGGGGCCGGGACTGGGGCCGGGGCCGCTCCCCAACACTGGGGGGGGCGTGTGGGGGCACCTATGTACTGTTGTGTGAGGCGTCCTGCAGCAGCCGGAGGAGCAGGGGACGGGTGGAAAGAGAAGCCGTGTCACCTGACGGCAGCCGGCCGGCTAACTGGGGACACTTCTGGGTGGGGACGGCCGGGGGCTCGGTTCCCTGTCCCCAGGCCGCACAACGTAAACTCACCGTTTCACACACGGGCCTGTGCGGCTCAGATTAAGGGGAGGTCCTATCTGACAGACGCCTTCCAACCACACCCTCGGTAATACGCTGGGTGTGGCGCATGTGGGAATTTAAACCCTTTTCCCCATATGTCTATGATATATATACATATATTATTTCCCATGGAAATTACCTTGGACTTACATATACATGTATTTCATTACACATATACGTCTCTATATTTAGATATTTATATATATTTATGTATGAATATTTATACATGTTTATGTATATATAGATACAGAGAGAGAGATAAAAATATAGATATATCTGAAAATAAACATTCAGCCTTAGTGCAGTATTCGTGTTGCAATGTTACTCAATTTCACTGCGTGTTCACTACATTTCCCATGATCCTTTACCGGAAGAGGAAACCCAAACAGGAACGATGCGAAGGTAAACAGTAGTTTATTTTTCTTTGTAAATTAAAAAATAATGTAATCTCTCTGTGTAAATTATTTGTATCTTAGGTCAGTGTAATACTACTAGTGTGTAAAAATCCAGGTTTATAAGCGTGATACAGCCGCCGTTTGGTCTGTTTCTTCTACTGTTTTTATGCTAGTAGCCACAGCCATTCAAGCTAGCGAGTGTTCAAAACATCAATTTCACAGTTTGTGTATCGAACCACATTAATGGCTTATAGATGAGAGATTCACTCTGTCGTTTGCCCTCCTACTAGAATGACTGTTTTTGAAAAATAAAAGCGGTGCGTGTTGATACAAATAGTAGAAATAGGATTGTAATGTAGACAGTTTTCGGTTGGATACGTACGCAGAACGTGTTAACTTCCCGACTTGGTTTTTGTGGAATGGCTTGGACGCCTAAAAGTGTCATGTCTTGTGTGTCCCTGTCCAAAGTGGTGATGCACTGAATAAATTCACCTCGTCAGCATGTCAGAATCCAGATAAATTCTGAGTTCGGTTAGTCAAACTGGACCCTGAGACACACTTCATGAATGAAAACTGGCGATGAAACACAGAAAATATCACCTCTGTTCTGCAGACCCCAGGTTGGGAAGTAAGCTGTGTTGGGTTCTGAAATGTGTCCACTCTCCTTCTGGGATGAGCCAGCATCAGTCTTAATGTCTAGCATGAGTTGAAATGTTGGAAAAGAGCTCTGGTGGCACCAACACCTGGTGGGATGTCTCTACAGAACTGGGGTTTTCCTGTGGCCCAGGCTCAGGTTCAAGTTGTGCTGCAGAATCCCAGCTGCTTTAAACAGAGAACCAAGGCCTACGGTGTTGTTCCAGATCACTGTTTCCAGCTTTCTCTTCACCCGACTGTTCAAAACAGACCCACTGGAGATGAAGCCTGAGCTAAAGGGGGGGCTATTCATAAGGGTGATTTAGGATCCATCATTTGTCTGCATAGTGACACTTTGGAGTAGTGACTGTGAAGTTTTAGGTACAGCTATTCCAAATTTTCTCAAAATCCCTCTTGATTTTTCCACAATCATTTCTGCTGCATGCAGTCAGGGCCGCTGCATTACAGTGACACTAAAGACTTCTACAATAAGTCCTGTTTTGCATTTGAAAATAAGAGTTTTAACAGATTAGTGAATAGCCCCATACACAGCAGGAGGGTTCCCAGCGGGGTTTTCTATGTGGGATCTGTATGTTTTCCCTGGGTATGCAGGGATGGAAAGATGAATGGATGTGAGTTAGTAGAATTCTTTTCCATAGTACTGATGAGATTTCAAAACAACATTTACTCCCAGTTGGCCTTTTCCGATACGTTGCTATCTGCTGGAAGTGGTTTTCGGTCTGGAAGGCAATACATTTAATCATTTATTGTCAAACACTAAAGGTTATGTGAATGATTACGTTTGAATCTCTAACGGGTGTTATGTGAATAGTTGTGATTGAACAGCCGCTGCTGCTTCATTCTGTCTACTTTTCTCTGTGTCTGTGTCTTCCGTTGGTCAGAGTGAGTCGGCAGCCCTTCGAGGAGGGCCCGCTGCTGGAGGAGCAGGAGACGGAGGGCCAGCGGCAGCTGCACAGCCTCCTGCTGCAGCAGCTCCACACAGACGCCAACATCGACCGGTCAGAATCCCCCCCTTTCCCTCCGCTCAGGACCAGTTTCCACAGAGCATGACTTGTTTGCCAAAAGTAAAAGCGAAGTCCAAATCTTTAACAACCAGAACAGGTTAATCCGTTTATTAGCGGTGATTTACAGTCCAGCTTAATTTAACATTTTACCATGCAGAGGCTGCGTCACAACATGTGGTTTTTATTTCGGATGTGCAGGCCCTACTGTGACTGACACAGATGTAGCATATCATGAAACAGGAGATTCTTTCTTAACCATATATTTAGTAAAAACATTTATTTGTTTTCTAACCAGGAGACGTTTCATATTTCCACAAAACTATATTGTGCGTAAACAAAATATTTTTATCCATCAAATCTTTTAAAAAGCTACAGCAACAATAGCTATACATTTTGTTCTTATATTTGTGGTTATCACCATTATTACAAGGTGTGTATGTATGAAACCTTTGTTATTAAGCTGGAAAAGAAAATGTGTTTATCCCTAGTGCAATGCCTGGTGTGGTTTCCCTCTTTTTATGTAGCAATGTTCAGTTCTATGTTACCTTCAGCGTCTGTCCAGTCAGGGGAATTTGATTCTACACAAATCCTCAGACCTGGGGAATCACGCACAATCGTGTCACAGCAAAACATTAGGGCAAACGCCCACTCCGTGTGAGGGAGACATGGTCGTCTCGTTTGGGGTGGCTTGTCTCAGTGTAGTTCCCGCTTTGAAAATCAAATCTGTTTGGCAGATGTGTTGCCAAGAAGCAGTGCTTCGCCCCGGCATCCCTCTACCGGCCGTTCGGGGCACAAGCAGCAGGAGTGAGGAGCCTTTCCCAGTTCCGAGCCCTTCAGGACGGGGAGAGGGAGCTGGCCTGCCTGCGGGAGCGGGGCCTGACTGACAGCGAGATCCAGCTGTGGCAGAGCAGAGACGCTCTGGAGGCAGCTCAAAAGGTAACTACTCAAATGTTTGTTTTGCTTTATGGAATTAAGTCACAGTCTTGCCTAAAAATGCCTTAATATCACACAGTCCATGCGAGCGGCTCCGGATGCAAAGCAGCAGCGACTGCAGGTGATCAGGGACAAGATGGAGGCCCGGGCAGAGCTGCTGGCCCGCCCACAGCGCTTCGCCGCCAGCCGCCCGCTCTCACGCCGCGAGATGGAGATTGAACAGGCGCTGTATCAGGGGACAGAGCGGCCCGGTTTCCTGTCCGCGCTTTACCATCGAGAAGGTCTGGGCTTGTTGAGAAACACACACCGAACTGATGGCTTTGGCCAAGTTAAACGAATGGAAACTGACCATAAAACAGCCCATATACAGCATGGAAATGAAGTTTCCTGTCCAGTCCTATAGCTGATAACTTTACTTATATTCTGTAAAATTACAGAAGGCACATGTTTTTTTATTTTAGTTCATGTTTGCAACTGCTTTTGAGGAAGGATTTGCTACACATTCCAACAAATGACAGTTTAGATGGGTGTCAATTTCTATGACTCTTAAACTTTGTTACTAATGACATTCATTAGAAAAAAAACCTTCTGTCTTCAAATGATCCTAAACAAGAGAAGCTGAAAGGGGTGTTTTTGTAAAACATGTTAACTTCATGTGACTGAAAGTGAATTGTGCTCCAATCCTAGATGAAAGTAGCCAGGATGACCAGAAGGGGGCGCTGTCCTCCGACCCTTTGGACTCCCTCTACACAGACGTTCTCAGCAGTGAGAAACACGCTTCACGTCACAGCTCAGGGAGGGGGCCAGCAGAGGCTCCACACGAGCCTCCACTCACGTCTGGGTTTGGGAAAAACTCACAGGAAGAGAACAGTCGGTGTAAGGGTGCCCCTGAGGGTCAAACCGGCTGGGCTGAGGAGCAGCCTGCAGTCTGCGCCTCGCAGTCAGCCTCACACACCTCGCTGCAGAAGCCCACCCAGGACCGCCCCACGCCACCGGGACCCTCGTCACCAGGACCCGCTTCACCAGGACCCGGACCACCAGGACCCACGTCACCGGGACCCGGACCACCAGGACCCGCCGGCCCGCTCCAGCTGGACGTGCGGCGGCCCATCCGGAGCCTGTGTGGAGCGGCGGGGAGGGCAGGCGGGCCGCTGGCGCTGAGAGGGGAGGTCCGCACAGTCACCGATGAAGAAATCCTGAGGAACCGGGAGTCTGAGGAGGGCATCCGGAACATTCCCAGGTTCCAAAACTACCAGCCAGGAAAGCCCTCAAAGGTCTCAGTCGCCACATCAGATACCCATCAAATATTTGTTAGAGATCACATTACTGTACACGGTCAAGGCTTTTAAAATATAACCATTTATCACATACAATCATAGGAGACATATCATTACTTGGTCAAAGACAATAGAAAAACAAATTGAAAATAATCACTACTTTTATTTCAGCTAGTGAGGTATTTGTTTAAATGATAAACATACAGAAAACCCAACTTTTTTCTGTTCTAAGTTTTACATCAGGTTTTAATACAAATTCATCTGGCTCTAACAAGGTCTCAAAGAGCAGTAACAAAAACCTCAGATAAAGAGCAGGAGACCTGTTCATATGTCCTTATTTAACCCAAACTGAGCAGAGCTGTGGAGCCAGTACACGTAAAGCAAGGCCCGCTCTTCCATTAAAGTGACAGTAGCAGCCAGATCCTGCAGAACAACGTACTTTATCAACGGATCAAGTGTGAACCGACGCCTGGTCTCAGGTGAACCTCCATAAGAGGGAAAAACATCATTAATCATTGTAGAGAAGCATTTGTTTCTGCCCACCAACATGATGAGGGTCATTGGACCGTTTACAAACCAGTCTCTCAGTCTACACAGAACTGAATTCTCACAGAGGGAAGACTTCATGGGAGTAGACATCCCAGCAAATGCAAAATATTCAGTTTCAAAGAAATGACACATGTCTGAGGGGCCTCCACAGGACTCAGTGTGTTCAACCCCACACTCTGACACCTCCTACCACAGGCTGACGGGGCCCACTGGTCATGCAGGGGCAGAACCGGGACCCGGGTTCACCTCACAGAGGGGGGGGGGTGAACTTCTGGGCCCTTCCACGCATTTAAGCAGTGCTGCTAATTCAGCTGAGTGACAGCAGCAGTGGTGATAAGGATGGTGCATTATGAGCTCTGTTCCCTCCCCCCCCCCTCTGGATTTTCACAGATGATGTAACGGGCACTGAAGGCCCAATAGCCCCCGCCCAGGAAGACATTTAACACATTGCAGTGAGCTGCAGACTCCACTGTGAACCCCTTTGCATAACAAAGTGTTGCAGTCAGACGTGAGGCCATCTGTTCCAGCAACATGCTCCCAAACGCAGCTATAAATCCTCAAGATGTCTGAAAAAGGACATAATCACCGTGTTAGGGTGATGAGCCAGCGGGGGCTTCACACATCAGTCACACGAGGCAGTGGTGCTAAAAGCACCGTGAAGGGCCGATAACTTCATCCAGAATAGTACAGTTAAAGGTGGTTCCAC